CTTATCCACATTCCACTTTATCTCCAATATAATAGACAGGCTTTTTGTCTTCCTATATGCATCACACTTTGGTGACACTGAGCCACAGTGATAATATTTTAGCAGATGGGGTGAAGGGGCTTGTACGGAATAATGGAGGATAAAGGGTAGGTACCATAGCGAAGACGCAACCAGGCATGCACAAAGCCTGATAGAAAAAAAAAAGAGTTCTTCAAAAAAGTGTAAATTTCCATGTCTTGGATGCTAGGAGGTGATGGTTAACTCATATGTCTGCTGTAAGAACATCTGAAGACTCATTCAGATCGACACTACGGAACACATTACATAAAACATGAAGCTCCTGTTTGCGTACGGCGCGATACTGCGGTCGTTTGGAGTACGTTCAGGCTGTTACGTTATACGGAGGTTAGTTGATTGTTTTCTTTGTCCGATATTTTCCAAAAGAACCATTTGACCTCTGTCTTCAATAAACAGTGTTGCGACCACGTCTTTCGAGAAGAAAACAACTGAATGGTCTTTTTATCTTCATATATAGTAATCCAATGAATATAATAAAGGAAAGTGTTCTTGTAAGAGTTCGTGTGGCGAACAGCAAAATGCTACACTGAACGTCGTGAACTGAAACTGAATTACGCATTTACAAACTGTGTGTGAGGTATAAGAGTACGTCTAAAAGCGAAGAAACGGTAAGAAATGAAAAAAAAGAAATCAAATATAAAATTAGAAGGTAGTTACTGTACAGAAACTCGCGTACATAGCAATTTTAATTAACTCCGCTGCAGCTTATACACATTTAAAATAACGGTTATGCAACTGAAATGTCTGTAACACCAACACATGTGTGGAATAACAGAAGAAATTCAAGAAATACAACAGACAGATTTGTCGATGTCACTCTTCTGGGTTGTAGCGCTTTTATTCGGGAGGTCACGGGTTTACATCTCCTGTCGGAGGTCGGCTGTTGTGAGTGAGGTTATCGCCAGAAGAGTGCCTTCAATTATTTCGCGACCGCTTCCTTCGATATCCTAATAGTAAATAATGAACTAGAGTTCATTATTTACTAATCATTCCATAATTCGACGTTACGTAGTCTGATCTAATAGCAGAATCCTTAAATAACCACAAATAAATATATTAAATGCCATGGAGTGTCTTTAGATTGATAGTCACTTAAAAATCATGTCGTTGGTTCGGTTAGGTTAGTAAGTTGGACGGATAATTGAATTGAGAGCCAGCATGCTGAAGAAGACACATTAAGCAGTGAGATAAACAAGTTCTAGATAGAGAAATATGGATATATGGGCGTATATGTGTGAGTGACATTTTGTTTGTGTTCAAGTATGGACGAGATTAGGTAATATAAAATATAAAAGAAGTTATAAATGGTTTATTCATTCTTGGGAAGAAAAATGTGGAGATATATTGCTTATGATCCACACGCTGTACTAGGTTACGTTAAATTAGGTTATTTTTCTCTTGAGGTGTAAGATTTCTTGTGAAAATTAATTAATCTAACCAAATGAAAAGTAAAATACATAACTAACTTAACCTTAGCTAAGACATGAAATACCTAGCGAATAAGACATTACTCTGTTGTTCACAAATGGTTACTTAATTGAATAATTTGACATTCTATGAAGTAACTAGTCAGGAGTAAAATATTCTTGAAATTACATGTTTTAACTAAAACGTTCAGTTAATGTACGAAATAAAGAAATTACGTATTTTAACGGAAACATATACAAGGAAGGCCCCATGAGCAAGTCCACATTCTGAAGCTGTGATTGACATTCAAACGATGGGTTTCTGTCTGCAATTGTAGATTTACATCTGCAGTAAACGAATTTAAAGGCCAATGAAGTATTGGAAATCGCAAGAAATCAGTGTATATGCCGAAATAGTAGACATATATATAGACAATACAGAGAGACGTTACTCTAAATTCAGCTACAAAATTAAATTACATTGAAACGAATCGCTTGCACACACAATGTTTCAGGTGTAAGCTTGATCCAGTGTGTACGTTTATAAGGTTACAGAATAGGATACAGATTCACCCATTCCCTAAAAAAACAAAAACAAAACAATTTTTTACCTTTCCCTCGCTTTTCCACGTTTGTGAAAAGAATAAATATAAAGCTACAAGTTATGAAGAGCAACCCGATATAAATAAACTGCAGTAAGTTATATCACACGTGTATGAGATTTATACTATATTTCAGCAGAATTTTAAAGTTGTATTATGAAGAGACGCATTAACCATAATAAGTCAAAGACATCATGCCACAAGAAAGTACGCAATGCGAAATAAATAATAGTTTAATACCAACATAACCTTCACAGTGCATAACGATTTTTACTAACGAGGTTCACAAAACCGAACCACGGTATTTCCTATCTTGTATTTAGGTATATTTCAGTTTTGGTTTCACTTGTTTAATATGCTCATAGTCACGAACAAGCAGTGGAATTAAATCGATTTTAATCCCAAGCTCCACCTTTACTAAACTGAACTGCTACTAAAGAGCTTCCTTCATACATATTTATTAGTATGAAAGACTAATCTAGTATAAAGTTCTGGATTCACAAATTGGAATGTTTATATTCCCGAGGTATATGAACTTCTATAAGTGGAATACATCTCCGTGTCAGTTTGTCTACACTAAAGACGTGATTATGCCGAACAGGGCATTCATAAAACAGTCAACGGTTACCAACTACACTAAGAAATCCATTATCACAAAAATTACGTAACAAACTCCATAAGCAAAGAATCTTTTTGAAACGCTGAGAGTCGTTCAGTTGGACAATAATTCCCGTCTTTTACGGAACCAGAATGTTCATTGCCGTGTTCTCAAGAGCCCGCCATGGTCTCTTTCATGACCCAGGTAAATCCAGTTCTCACCCTCACATCCTGTTCTTAACATTCATTTTAATATTATCCTGCTCACTACATCCCGGTTTCCTGAGAAGTACCTTCTTTTATTTCAAACGCAATCAACATCTTCCCATGCGTGCTACATACCACATACCACATCCACCTCATCCTTCTTAATGTTATAACTCTAGAATTATTTAGTAAAGAATGAAAATTATCATCTGTATCATTCATGCTTTCCATCTACATAATTTGTTTACAAAGCTTAATAATTTTTGAACATCCACGGCGACATGTTCCAAAATTAAATCTTTAAAACCCGGTGGTAACTATATGTACCACTTGCTTTAACAATCAGCTACTGTGTGTTTTGTATTTACGGGTCTTGTTCGATTATCACTGTACATGATGTATCGTTTAAATTGTGACAGATTAAAATACGAATTATAATTGTAATTTTAGATACAATTCGTATTAAGATATTAATAGTAATTAGACTCTCCGAGCGACTATTCGCTTATCAAATAATACAAACACACATAACAGAATGGCAGTTTCTTTTCAACGTTTGCGCAGGTGAATCAAGAGGAACGATACAAATTGAACGGCTTTTTTTGTAAACATTGATATTTAAACTACGAAAGAGAGAAGTTTAACTTCCCTAAATTTTGCTAGAAGGCTTGAGAACTTTACGAGAGGCAATATGAAATTACTAAAAACTTTACCGTATCTCCAAATATAAGTGTAAATGCATTTCCCTAATTGGGACTTCCTAAGATATTTTCTACACAGAGACATTTTTCAGAAGTTGTTGTGGAAGCTGAGTAGCCAGTCAGCCGTGAAACAGAAGACCGAGGAGGACTGTCATGTTAAGTGATCATCTGTACTAAAAGAAGAAACAGTCGATGTCTTTGGGGTGGGCGAAATGGGGTGGGGCCCTTATCAATCAGTGTCAGGTCGTTAAAGAACTCAAGAGGCTCCATGAGGCAATGTGAATTGGACGAAATGAGAGAATATGAATGACAATGTGAAGTGAGCCCGGTACATAAGCGGTTTTACCAATATTACAGAAGATGTAATTAAAGATAATGGAAGTTTATTTTCTTGTTCTGGTGACCTATATTTGGCATGTAATTTGTTTGGTTAGTGGCGTCTTGGTATGTTCTGAAGTGGCTGGTGACTTCTTTATCTGAAGATAGTTGCTGTGAAATACGTGAAAGTGAAGTCAAACCATACACATATTTTATCCATGAAAAACAGGATTAGCTTCTTACAATGTTAATTTTCTTTTATTATAGTTAGGATTGGATTCAGCTGGAACACCACTGGTGGGCTCGTGTGAAAAATGTAGTACATATTCGGATACCATAAAAAGACGAAAAACATTTCACCAAATAAGCTTTCAATTTTTCAAACAGGACTTTGCTCCATAAAGTTATTGAGTTAATTATAATTAGAAATAATATTGAATATGCAAGGATACATTAAAAATACAGGAAGTTTATTATCCATAACTCTTCTGTAGTCAAAATTTCACATTAATCATTTGGTGCTGAGTAAAAATGAATAAGTCACCAGAAATTCTGTTTGACGTCTTCACCGTTCTCAGACAGCATCAAAAATCTGAGTGACACACAAAATTCAGATTTACGAATCACAGTCAGGGTAGATAATGCATGTTCAAGTTTTATGAATATTAAGTTGATTCATAATGAACATCAACATCAAACCTCAAGGATGTCTTATTACATTGTTCTGACCTCAGGTTTCAACTTTCGTCTTTGTGTGGTCTACCTCTTCCTCTACCTAAAATAGTTCAAGCACGTCTAATATCAGTAATTTGAGAGCTGTTACTTGCGACGGACAGACAAACATGAAGGCATTACAATATTAATAGGAGAACTATGAATTTATGTAATCCAAACACATACAGAAGGCAATACAGGCAAAAACTACGTTGTCTACTTACGTATTAAGTTCAAGGTCAAGGCGGAACTTGTGGTTAAAGGCCTTAATGAGCAGGGAGGTCCGATGGAAGTGCTTCCCCGTCTGCAAACACAAACACCAGAAATTGAGACCATCATCACACAACACAGTTAACTTTCAAAACAGCCAATCCTCCCTTTATCTCTTCCTTCCTATTTTCCGCGGTTTCGTTAGCAGCAACAAACTTCGAAATTCTTAAAATGTGTTTGTAAATTCATTCAACTAATACAAAGCTTCTACATCTATTATGCTCCATCTGACGGAAATATTCAATGGGTATATTCAATTCAGTTTCTCGAAGTATGCTTTACGTTAATCGATATGTTTCATTCACATGATCGAGGGTGTAACATTATGCAGAGTTCATTTCACCCTTCACCATCACTAAAAATCTACTCCTTTCGGTACCTTTCAGACTAAGCTTGTGAAAATCTGACCTCGCCAATTTAGATCTGCATTATATTGTTCCTAATTCATACTTATGTTAAAAGACGACGAAATGATAAATGACATTACATTCGTAATCCTTTCTGTTCCTACCTTGGGCATAAGAAATTCTCTTCTGAATATTATAATGGAAGACCATGACAATATTTGCACAGCCCGCAGCACTGGGTTTCGCAATAAGACAGCAAATGTTTCCTGTAACAAGATAAACTACGTTCTGCCAAACGCAGCCTAACAAGATGGAAAACTTGTATTCCAATCGAGTTCACAAATTTCTATGCTAATTTGTATTCGTTATGGTCTTGTTCGTTTCTTGCAAACAAAAGTTACTTTTCCATCTTATCCATCTAATGTCAGAAATGAACTTCAAAATTCGTGACGTAGCATATTCGTCCATTGCTGACGAGCCTGATTAGGATGAGATAGATACACAATTTCATATGCACTTACTTAAATGAACGCAACAAAGAAGTGTTTAAAGTGTCAGTTGTAAATCGTAAGGAGATTTTGATTTGATTGCATTATACATATACATTGCACATAATGAGCCAATTTATAGAAATTCGATTAAATTTTTGATTAAAGGAATGTAGGCGGATTCACCAATGGAATAAATACAGAGATAAATTCTGCTCAAGGACGTAGCTTTATGTATGTTACTTAAAATCTGTGTGCAATAAGGCGAAATATGAGACGTTTCTTTAGACGCGCGCACATACATACATAAGTGTCCTCATCTTTGTTCAAGGCAAGAAAGAGGAGTACGTTGAATTTGTTTTAGTATTCCGTATTTGTCCCTGTTCGCTTTATATCTTATTTCTTCTGGAAATTTTATTTGTCCTGCTACTTCGATTGTCTTGAGCAACGTCCGAGCGCTGTAGACCAATGAACGACTGACCTTCTGCGTATGTGGGACCAGAGCTGTCGATTGTCACCTTCCACAAATGACTGAAAAGAACTTTACTTGTGTCGTCAAAAGAAATAAACTTTATTATATTAAAGCAGAGTGATGTGAAGAATGACGGATTCAAAGCAATTTCAGCAACTTCATTTAAGTTTCGGCTACACTGAACAGTTTTCTTTAAACCTTTGCCAACAACGAAATTTTCGGTCCACTTCTTCGAAGAACGTAACACTGAGATAGTTGCAAGTGCGTCCTATAAAACAGGAGAGGCTAATAAAAAAAAAGCGCGTACTTTTGCGTTGCGTGCTTTCTTCAGCGACCGACAACAGTTGAAGTCGTCACGGCGATGAAAATGTGGATGCTGGTCTCCTTTGTAACGTCGTGTGAACTTGTAGGTATATAACGACTAGAAATAATATACTGCCTCCATCTTCAGGGATGAAACATTGGTATATTCACAAATCCTAACTCACTGTATGAGCCATATTTCATAGACATAACGTTTTAGAAGAACACCCTATTCCAGTCTTCAGGTGACTGGTTGTCATAACACAGACAGATATTTTAATAATTTTTATTGTAAGATAACGTATCGGATCGAACCCGTGGCATTTTAAATACCAGACCAGTACGCTAAAATTTTCTCCCGCGTACATTCAAATTCATCCATTTTGGGTCCAAATACTTCTCTCAGCACCCTATTCTCCACCACCATTAATCTACTGTCTTTCACTAATGTAAAAAAACCAAGTTTCACACGCACATAAAACAATTTTAAGAACATCATTCCAAGAGTCTTTGAGAAGAAAACAGATTGACTGATCGATTGATTGATTATCAGTGTAATCCAGAATAAATCCTATTATTCCGATCAACCGCCTAACATTGATTTATCCGATTAGTCTATTTAATAGATTAACCGGTTGGAATATTAGAGGCAGGCAATGTTTACACTGCAGAGAAATGCGTTATGTGCATGAACCGTAATGATGGGATTGCAAGGGATAAAGATGTAATGGTCACTCAGCTTCGAAACAACCTCCAGCAGTATTCCAGCTTAGTCCGCTGGAACCTACCATGTTTAACGTCGCACTAATTACAAAACAAGGTACAGGCGCATCACATAGCAGTGGCAACGTTTAACCAAACGATGTTCAAAGACTCGAAATGAAGAGAAAACATTTGCATGACCCCATCGTATAAAAATGGCGGCGGTTCACAGACCGAAGCCACAGATCCTGACAACTTCACCACAAGCAGAAAACCGCGGTATGATCACATAATTAAAGACCAAAAGCTGTTCTGGAACAGAAGAAACGAAACGTAAACATTTCTTTAAGACAGATATGTACTAATCTGTCAATACAAACAATCCTTTTTGGCCACATCGCTTTGGTGATGGAGGCAGCAAGGACCCCTGAAACGTCGGTAAATTTCTCCCAGACTACAAGACGCTGCAGCCCAGAAGGCAGCCTTCTTCACTGCGTTTCCCTTCAAATTGTTACTATAGACGCAAATGAAGTTAGGTACCTGTCAGTTATTTTTGGGGGAAAATAAAGTGTGTTTGCTAGCATACTTCTTGCGGTTATCAAAAAAATCATGTGGTTTTTCAAGTGACCGATTCAATTAAGTATTGCTGTTTTAGAATCAGTTTTGAGTCGTAGCAGGCCAGATCGTAATCCACAAGACGGTAACTGACTGTCTTATTGGATGTCACATGGCCCAACGTTTTGTTATTTCTGCAGACACCACACGACGTTTCTACAAGTTTTGCTTCTGAAATATGCTTTTATAATTATTACTTTAACCATTTCTTCGACATATAAAATCCAAAGATCAAGAGACACAATTCGTCTTTAACTCCCGCTATTTAAGTATGAAAATGAAGCAGATTACAAAGCAAACAGAACAGAAATGTTCCCTTCACTCCTCATTCCTTGCCACTTGGATTCACAATTAATCCAGAGTGTAACGATTTCCCTAAAACATCCACTTTATTCCAAATAACAGAATCCCTCTGAGTCTAGCGAAGTGAAATAAAAATAATAAAATATTTTATTACTGCCCTGAGATTTCATTACCCAAAGGGAGCAAACAGAGAACACACAAACACGTTGCGTCTACTCGACTTCATTTACGAAACCATTTTTGCCTATCTCGTATCACCAAACAATATCATTTTTTTTTAAAATACCACGCATTACGCGCAAGGCTGGCTCCAGCGTCACAGTACAAACAATATTTTATAATAATATTGCTTACATGTGGATGATACAGTGCGTCATAACGATTTGAGGGTCCTATGATGGCACATCCATCTAGTGGCGATGTTGCGTATGACTAAAACCTATACACTCTCCCCCTGAGCGTGTAGTAGGATAGCTTCACTTTTACTTATGATGGGGCATCAAGGCCCGCGCCTCAAAGGCCGTTAATCGTCGGCTTCTCACCACAGAGGCCCCGGTTTGCAACCAGGGCAGTCCATGTGGGATTTGTTATGGAAAACGCGGCACTGGGACAGGTTTCTCTCCGAGTCCGTCGATTTTCCCCTGTCAATATCACCCCACCTCTGTTCTATATTCACTCATGTATCATCTGGGGGATGGACAAAGCGCCCGCTAGAGGCCGCAGCTCCACAGAGACACAGTCGCGTCCAATTGCACTAATAACAATAATCATGGGCATAACAACACAAATTTTCTCTTTGAAGTAATGTTCTAACCCCTCAGGCCGCCTAATGGTTACACGGGAACTGATACAATATGGCAGACTTAAAGCAACTTGTTTCACACAGCAGATAGGGGACATGATTCAATGCTCATGTTGAGAACTGGATTATTTTCAGTCGAACAATTTAGTAGGTGCCTACTCAGAGATTGTTCAAATTCGTTTATGTGAGCTCTGTATCGATACTTCCATATATTAAAGTAAACATTAACCCGATTAGTCTGTCTCCCTGTTCGCTCCGTGACAATTTGTTTTTTTTAAAGTTATATAGTATCAAACATGTATATTTGTACCAAAAACATAAAGAAAAACTAGAATAAATATAACTGCATGACGAAGAAATTAATAATTTTTACTCTTTACTAACCTATCATAGTGAAAGAAGCAAGAAGGATAAGATTAACTGGGAATGTAGCATGGATTGAACAAATCAGAAATACATGCAGGCTTTTAACCGGCAAACTTGAAGGGAAGACACCACTTGTGAGACATATTTAAGTTAACATTAACATTTATAATTAAATTGGATTCATCTGGCTCAGGGATAAAGACAACTTGACAGGCTGTTGTGGATAATGTAACTGATCTTTAGGTTTCTCAAAACACACAGTTTGTCGGGCCATTTATAATTTGTCTCCACACAAAATGCCACTTAACCTACATTCAACGCTTCGTAACTTATAACCATCAAACCGGGAGCTTTAAATACATCATGCATGACCGCCATGTTGTTAAATATTCTACAAGAAAGTTTACGGAAAAAATAAGGTGGAAATGTTCGTAACATAGTTCATAAACATCCTCGAGTAGTTTCAGAATTACTCACGGTGGAGATATTCAGACTTCAAGACTTGATGGTACCACGCTCCGAAGCTGACGTTCAATAATGTAGGGATTCTCATGAATTTCGAGGCATCGACTTTACCGAAGAATACGTACCCAATCGCTTAATAGTTAGCTAGTGGCTTAACATCAGTAAAAATCA